TATCAGGTGAGAAATTTATAGTTTATTGTTTGGAAAACGATACCAATAAATCGCAGCTTCTGACAAAAATTAAAAAAATAAGACAGTGTACAGGAGCAAAAGTTACTGACATAATATTAACAGCTTTTGCTGCTGGGATAATTAAATATTATTTACGCGTAAGTATAAGACTACTTGAGCTAAATGACGCCAAAATGAATTCTTTCTATGTAAAAGATTTCTTTAAATGTGCAAATATACAAAAAACAAAGTGTATATCTTTGTTGCAGATGAAGGAAGTAATACCCAACGCAATATCGGTTCTCATACCAAGAAGACTTTCTATGTATAATGACAACCTAGTACTGACCAATGATATTTCGATTAATATAGTTAAAAGTTGTTTAGTCAACGCGAATAAAAATGATGTTTTAACGTCACCTACAAACTTTCGGTTCTTTGAACGTCTTCAGAGAACTACAATAATAAATAACAAAATTAGAAGTAGTTTAGAAGCATCGTTAAATTTTTTCCTTTTGGAACATTTACTGGGAATTTTGCCGGGGGAAATTCTAAAACTTCTTATTGCAACTCACAATCCCACAATGGCATTTAGCAATATAAAAGGAATACAAAGAAAACTTTCTATTCAGAATCATCCTTTAAGCAACATGTTGTTTTGGATACCGAACAAGTATAGTATATCAAAATTATCTTTTATTTTAACTTACGTGTAAAAAACGAATTAGAAATATTCCAAAGATATTAAAACCATTCTTATATATAATATATAAGCTATATGTACATATGTATATGAATACATATAGTAAAATTTATATTTTTAGAAATACAACCGGGTTGTCTTTAAGTGTAATTACTTACGAAGGCAAATTAAATCTGTCTCTATTGGTTGATAAAGCAGTAATAAGAGATATGAAAGTAATCAGAGAAATACTAGACGAAACTATATATGAAATAGACTCTGCGTATAATGATCTCGCAAGTTTCGAAATCATCGGATCGTTCAGTGAAAACACTTGTGGAAAAAAATAGGTAAATACAAATTTCGATTAAGTTTTGATAATATTTTACTTTTCTGTGTTGCACAAAACAATCAGTTTTATTTTTATTAGTAACGATTTAAGTGTAAGATTAAGAGACACTTTTGTATATTGTAGGAATGTGTGTTCTAAAACGTAAAAACAATTTTAGTTGTGGGCATACTCTATATCTATTATGCACGTAGTGTGTATAAATGTATATTTATATAGCAATATCGTGTTTATGTGTTTTTGAAAATAAATTTATTAGTATTAATATTGTTTTTTTTTAATGGAAAACAAAGACCTTTATGAACGTCGTAATATCGACTAATCAATCTTATGTAATATTTGTAATGATACTTATAAATGTAAAAAGAAAGAGTAAAATTTTTTCCCACATAGCTACAACGACCATCTTAAAAAAATGTAATTTTGATACTTTTCACGAAAATTAACTTTTTTTAATAAATCAGGTTTGTGTTAAAAATTCCTAAAACTGTATACAGTTTATGTCAGAGTTGCATTTGATATAAAAATACATGCTTCTATTATTGTGATTTTTAAGTGAATATTTTCACTGGTACATATATACTAATAAAAATACTCGTTCAGTTAGACTCAGAAGCGTTAGATCTAGGAAGACAGAAGCAAAATTTAATGTTTTCTAAGATGTTTTTAAGTTACGTGTTTCTCCGTAAAATATTAAAAAATTGCAACCCATTTTTTGGCAGGTTGTTGGCAGGTTTTATTTTATAAAATAAATGACATTTTATAAAATAAAGGACAAAATGACTATTTTAGAAACAAAATAAATTTAAAGGACAGAGCAACAAAATAAAGGACTGTCCTCTTAAATATAGGAAGTATGGTCATCGTACACATAGCACGTAAGAATATTATTAGGTATTCCACGAATCACTGAAAATATTACTGGCAATTACATAAAATGCCAGTAATCGTTTTCGTGCCACTGCTGCAATATATTACTGTCAGTTCTTTTTCGTAAAAACAAATATATGGAACTTTCATCCAAAAACAATTGTCACTCCCTAGGTATAATTACATAAGTGTCACATACGGGATTTTAAGTTTATTACATGGTAACACTTAGAAAGTCATGTTCTTTATGGTTACCAAATATTTAAAAAAATATTTATAAATAAGATAAAAATTTAAAACCGAAAAATTTCTTAACTAGGGAAACTATATGAACCTTTAAACTTTCAAACTGCTCTTCTCTAAAAATTGCGGTTTGGAGTTACGAGATTATATGTAGAGAGTGACGATACAGTGAAAAATCAGTGCGATTCCTACTCATGCAAAATAATGTATTCTTCTCAAAAGTTTTATTGTAGAGATATAGAAGATAATAAATAATTGAATTCTAAATCATTATTTTTCCGTGAAACAACTCTTTATACGTGCTCAAATTCTATATGTAGGCATAATAATTTTGCATGAGATTGAAAAGATTTTATATATTATATTTAATTAAACATCATCACAGACATAGAATATGTCCATATATGAAAGATTTTTTTTCTAGACTATTATAAAAAAAAACTAAGAGAGGTAGCATACAAAAAAAATTTTTTTTAATAAAAAAGAAATAACATGTGATCAAACTAAGTGGTTCCAAAGCACGAAAGTTTTATAATTTTTAAAATAGTCTGAAATAATACGTCGCGCGGAGTTTGCATAAAACTCACTATTGAAAATCAAAGGTTTAGATATTGATTGTTTTGTGGTAGTACGGAACGAAATTGCAAAAATCACAGTTTTGATATTGATTGTTTTTTTGTTAATACGGAACAAAATTGCGTTTTTAATTATACTGACATTTGCGTACTTTTTACACAAAACAAATTGTTCCGCAGATTCTCTGCAAATACAATCTCGCAACTTTTGCGAGAGTCACTCCGCTTAGCATAGCGAAGTTCTTGCTCCGTTACTTCAACGAAGCATCAACTCGCAACTTTCTTTCGAAAATCGTTTATCGAAAACGGAACGGATCGGAAAAGAAACGTCAAAAACATAGTAAAACATTTGACATACAACATATTCGAAATTTAAATTAAATTGAAATAAAACGCATAATCAAAATTCCTACGTAAAACTTTTCGTACGCGCACTTTAATTTCTTTCGCAAGATAGATTCTATTACTAATACTTAAGAATCGTGTGTATTTCAATAATCGAAACTAAAAATCGCAGTAATAGTAACGCTAAGTCGTTAAAATTAAATAAACATATGTTAATTTCATGTTTTCCCGATATACTTTTTGATAGTATGTCTCTAAAATTTCTAAATTTATCGTAAAATTCTCGCGAAAAATATATTCTCTAAAATGTACTCGATAGTAATAAACCACAAAATTTGAGTAAAATTGCAGTAGTTTTAAAGTCAAAAATTCGCGAGATCTAAAATAGATTTCATACACGATTTGCATGCACGACCGCGATCGCGTGATTTCTTCGCAGTTGCGAGGTCCAAAGCGTCGATTTCGACGCAAGGCGAATTAAACGTTCTCAATTTGTTGAATGTAAGAAATCGTCGAAAAAAAACTGGTATAAAATAATCATTATATGAAGCAATCTCAATGGTTTGGAAAATAGAGTAATCAGTATATCGTTTAGCAATGTATATATCTTAATATACATTTTTGATAAATGTATAAAAAAGTATTCTATATTATTCTCTGTTATATTTTATTTTCTATAAGTAAATTAGATTCAAATATATAAGTAAAGCGCGAAAACTATAATTTTATTTTTCAAATATTTGGTTTTTCTCGACGTTTCAAAATAAATAAGCAATACCTACGTATCGCACTGATTTGAAAAAATACCCATCATTTACCCTAAAGATCAACTCACGTGCGTTGGCCACTTACTGCGACAATACCACTCTGTAACATAATAGAATTCTATCGTTAGACTCAGAATTTGTGAAAACAAATTAGATATATTATACTTTAATAACTTTTACATGTAGTATATATAATATTAAAAACAAAAATATACCTTCATGCCAGCATTTTCTTACCCGAACCCGGCTCCTCCGCTACCGCAAACACCGCCGTCAGGAATACAATCAGCGTCAAAAGTCCACAGGAATATTGTCCGGATTGTGTCTTTTTTGGCACTTGATTACTTTCCCATGCGTAATTAAGTGAATTTCTTTTGTATTTTTTATAAAAGTTATTTTTGATAATATTAGATATGACTTCACGATGAAAAATGTCACGTAAAGCAAACTATACCTTGCTGTTATAAGATTTGTTTTTTTGTAAAATAAAGTATTTTACGTAATTCTTCTCAATGACAGTTAAGATAAAAATGGTACCGTTTGCACTCAAAGAGAAGAATTCGAAAATGGATAAAAAGTTGTAGATTTACTGCGGTTCTCTTAATAGAGAGTATTAACGAAACTCTAATTTGTAAAATATTAAGACCGTGTTATAAAATTCTTCCGATAAGATTGAAGTAAAAAGTATATATTCCAATATATGTTACATACAATATGTAAAAAAGAAATGATTATCGTTAGAGGTGAACCGATATATCGCTTTATGTATTAAAACAATTATTTTAAAAAATAAAGAAATGACAAAGCGGAAGACTGATAAGTTATATTCGCGACATATTTAATCGCGATACACGCGGTAGATTTACAATAACGAAATTACAGTAAGTGACGAAGAAAGAACTTCACTTTTGAACTTGAAATCGCGTACAAACTTGATACAACGAAAAAAGAAAATCTTCAAATCGCGCACAACCTGACAACACGTCCGTCATTTTCAAGAGATCGACGAGATCTGTAGCTACGCGCTGAGATAAGAGTAGAGTTTTCCTTTGCGCGCACACATTCTCCACTATGCGCTTTAGAAAATTCTTTCGCAGCGGTTGAGCGGTTTCCCAAGCGTCAAAAACACTCGCCGGTTGCTAAAACATTTCAGTCGTTGAACATAACACGCTTACTTTTTTTTAAAATTTGACATTTTTCACATTCTTAGTTCTCTTTCTTTTTCCACATAGTTGAGAATATTACGTTTTCGTGTAACATATTTTACATTGATTATTCAATTACGAAAAGATATAATTTTATCTCGATTCCGAGGTGTTGCGTTTTATCGGCGTGACCGATCAAAAAAAAGTTCTTAGATACTACATTCGCGAAACATATTCTCACGTAAGAAAGGAACTTTTGCAATATTTATTGAAATATTAATTGGAAAGAAATTGCCGAATGAGCGCAGCTAGACCGTGAGAAGTATGCTAGACTCGTGCCAGCGACGAGTGTCAGACAAAGAAACAAAAAGAAAAAAATTGTTTGTTGTTAATTTTTTTGTTGCGTGTGACACTCGCCGCTGTCACGCTTACAATTAGAGTTTACATTTTACGGTCAACATTCAGTAAACGGCTCTACACGACCAATTATATTCATCGACTAGTTTAAACTAATTGTATTAATTTGCAGAAATGTTGGAAACATCAGGAAAACAAGTTGCTGCGCCGCAGGATCATTTTAAAAAACAACGCTGTTAATAATCAAGGAATAAAAATTCTTTTTTATTGACTAGTTTCGTGAAATGCACATGTCAGTTATGTCCTACACACGCTCAAATGCAGAATAAAAACGGTGTATATTTTATCTTTAATTTATCGTGCATAATATATTTATACCAAAATATTTATAATAATTACTTTTCCAGAAATATATTTTAAAGAAATAATTCGTCAACGAAACTATTTTAATGCTCAATTGTGGCAACCGTCTGAGGATATACGAGACATAAAAACTGCTGGTCTAAATCAAGCTCCTAGTAACGGCATTCAAAGACAAGAATCAGTTTTCTGTTCTTTTACGCTTCCGTTAGAAACGGAACAACAATTAGAAGAGGTTGTGCAATTTTTAAGAATTCAGGCTAATTTTAAGATATTGATAATATTTTGTATTAAATACTATAACCTTATATATTAAGTATTATAACCTTAAGGTACAAATATTTTATTTATTTCGGTGTACTTAATGCAATTATATAAGGAAAGGTTGCCAATATTGGCTCCTCGATTAAATCAGTGTCTGTAACGCAAGTCTTTATAGGTATATAAGTATACACAAAAACATATTTATGTGTAAATATACATGCGTCATGCATAAATATTGTATATGTCTTTATGTAATATGGCGTGGCAGAACGACTACAGATGCATTCGCTCACCTTCGTCACAACCGAAATCCTCTCCCCGCTGTCCTGAGCCTTTCGCCGTCACCTGAGTATATAAGGTGGCAAAAATCGCGAGACGAGAGAACTAGTTTAAACTATTGCAAAAAAAACTCTTCAGTCAGGAGTCGAACCTGGTATCTCCGGTTTTACGGGCCATCGCCTTTCCTGTTAGGCCAAATAACAAAAGAGAATTTTGTCTTGATCGGATCAAGTCGATTTGTCAGGGCGAGTCTCTACGGTCAACCGGCGAAAAAGCACGCGGTCCTTGATGTTACAAAGAACGCGAGAAATCCGCTCAACTTGACCACTGGTAAATAATTTGTTCTGGAGGATCGCACCTGATTGATTAACTTAGATAATAACGCGTGTGTAATTAGTCTCGGCGGCTTTCTACCTTATCGAACTCTGCGGGCTATCGGATTTCGTGATAGTTATTGCGCTAAGATTTTCGTATTTATCCTGCGAGGATCCATACACGAACGCAGATGCTATCTACTTTATTATATTTCGCTAGACAAGGGTCGTCGAAAACATTCTCTCGGAATAAGTGTTATCGGACTGTTCGGGTTACAAAAACTCAGGTTTTTTTATCGGACGCAAATATCGGCGGCAATCTTATACAATTGTACCGCAAATAACCAAAAAGTTGAGATATCTTTTGTGACATAGCGTTTAACGCGTGCGGCCGCTTTACTATTATTGTAAGCGGCTGATCTGACGTGTGCTGCTTGAGCAGGTTGTTGATTAGGCGTGTCGAGAATTCTAGCGAGCCTAGAGTTACAAGCACACGAAGGGCGGTTCTCGCTTGTTTGCGCGTCCCCACCGCTTCGATCTCTCGTTGCTCTCTGCTCGATCTTGTAACTCTGAGCGAGCCTCTGAAGCCTCTTGCACAATGGACGGAATAGCGATAGCGATAGAAATAATACCAGTTGTAAAGAGTTTATATTTATAAATAACGATAGGAACAGCGGAATCTAACATACAAAAATACACATTTATCAATGCAGATCAGAAAATCAGAATAAGCAATAGCGATAAAATTTCCGACGAGTTGGAATTCTGTGTTAAAAACTGTGTTATTTCTATTGCTATCGCTATTCCTTCCATTGTGCAAGGGGCTTGACGCAATCGAGATGTTTGTCTCACGCAATTTTGGCACCTGTTTATATGAACAACAAGAATCTCGCCACATCTGTTAACCTTTAACGGCGACACGAAATTCTTGTAATTCTGTCTTTAACGATCGAATTCTAAAATAAGTTGCATACGGATCTCCGAAATATCTTAGCTAGTCCATCGACGGACTCCGAACATTGTTTCTTTTATCTTGTATTACCAATTAAGGCTCAAGAATATATTCATCTTTTATTCAAATTACATAGTTTCGCGCATTTTCATTTTGATTCTCACGACTTATTTTTCCTCTGACATCACCTCGCCCCTTTTTGTTCGGATTAGAGCTAGCCGGTCCGGATTTCTTACACGAGTCGTCCTTAAATTGACACGCGAGCCGCGTGTCTGGCGCAAAACTAACAGCTTAACACAATCTTGACGATCTCGGGAATCCGGATTCGCTTCCGAGCTCAGAAGGCCGGTGACATCAGTCACGGCGGAGACAAGCCTTTTTCTCATTTGCAGCGTCATTGCGTAAAAAATTACGTTGCAATATATAGTGTATAATGTTTCAATAATTTATATATGTATATTAATTATAATATATGTATATTTATATTATATATGTATTATATATGTATATTATATATAAATTAATTATATATATATAATTAATTTCTTCTGTATGATTTCTGTGTCCGTGAGTGTTCCTCTGAATACGTTCTACAGTTGGCATATATCTATTTGTTATAATATATTTATTTTTTATATCTTTTTCATCTTATTTATATACGGTTTGATCTATTCATTTTTTTATGTTTCGATTTTTACATATATTTAATTGTATACACAATACTACATAGATATAATAGAATAAAATAATAATATAATAGAATAATATTTATTTAGTGGCTAGATATAAATATTAATATTAAATATACATATAATTTTTTAAACGAGACTTTTTACAATATACGTTCCTTCCATTTTTACCGGAGACATTAATAGATACATCTACTAAACACACATATATATATATATATAATTTTATAATTCTAGTTTAATTTTTTTTTTATAATTTTATTTATTACACACATATATATACATATTAGTTGTTAACGTTAGATATTTAGTAAATGGCCAATAGTTTTACGTTTTGAGAAGAAAAGTGAAAAAAAGAGTAGTTACATTATCGACACGACGTAGTTGCAAACAACCAATTGCTACTATTTAGTTCGTACGGCGCTCGCTGGCGCTACGAGCAACCGCCCCGCTTGCCCTTCGATCCCCGCGTCTACTCCGCGAATTTTTGACGCCGTCTGGGCTGTGTCCAGTTAGGCCTGGTTTATGCGGGCAATAACTGTTAACTTATGCCGGAACCGGTAGAGTTTAACTATAGGATTCCAATACTTCTGTTTATACGCATTCGGCAATTTCGTATAAACAGAAGTATTAAAATCATTTAGTTAAACTTTACCGGTTCCGGCATAAGTTAACAGTTATTGCTCGCATAAACCAGGCCTAAACAAGATGGAACGAACTAATGCAGGAAATGCCGGAAATACAAGAATTGAAATGCAAGGAATAGCAGGTAATGAAAGAAGTTAAGAAAGTGGAAAAGAAGAAAAGAGAAGGTGGCTCCCCGATGTGTTGCTGAGCATGCGCAGTAGCAGACAGTTGTCTGTACTTTCTCAACTTCTTTCAATTCTTGCTATTCCTGCATTTCATATTTCTATATTTCCTGCATTTTCTGCGTTCATTCGTACCCTCTTGCTTAACTGAACACAGCCCTGTACATGCACAGTTTTGCAAATGGCATTCAACCCTAAAACCCTATTCCCTTGAGCGGATTCCCTCCCAATGAACTGTAAAACTCGGGACCACTTTTGTATCATGGAATTCGATCTCTTTCCTCTTACTTCGTGAATATAACTCACGCATGAATTAAGAGTAAGCCTGGATCCTCATGCAGACACTGGTCTAGTTTCCACCGAAACCCTTAATTCGGTTTCACTCCGATACTGATCAAATTTAGTGTTTCGTTTCCATTGGAAGTAGAGTAAATATAGGTCGAAGCGGAAGTAAAATCAGCACAATTTGACAGGTTTCCATCGACTTGAATTTGATTCTACGTCGCATTAGGTGTGAATTAATGCTTCGGTGGAAACTAGACTACTGGCGCTTTAGCACCAGCGCTTAAGTGCTGTTTCAACTGTTGAGCAAAGCTAATGAGAGCTGTCAATGGGTGCGTTCAGACAACTCAACAGTTGCACAACGGTTGATAGATAATCACTTCTGATTGGATCATACTTTTGAAACCGCAGCAGATTTTGAAGAACAGTCCTATCATAAGTGATGATCTCTCAATCGTTGAGTTGTCTGAACGCACCCAATCTTCATGACAGCTCCGGTGCTTTAGCGTCGTTTACTCCCACTACCCGCTTTTCACCAATCAACGCTCGGTGTCAAAGCGCCGGTGTCTGTATGAGAATCCAGCCTAAGGAGATCGAACTCCGTGATATAAAAGTGGTCCCGTTTCTAATGCCTAATTGGGAGGGAATCCGCTCAAGAGAATAGTTTCTTACAATTGGACGCCATTTGCAAAGTAACGTAACCTGACCTTGACTGAGTTCCGTTTCACGCGTATAGTACACGTTACATATAGTATAGATAAATGCGCGCATATGCGCGCGCGCGTGAAACGGAACGCAGCTCTGTCAGTTTTTAGTTAATATTACGCAGCAATTCTTTGTCTGACACTAAAATCACTTTCTGCTTTCACAAAACCAAAAAATGTGTCGTTTCCAGTTGTAAATTTCTAATTTGAAGAAGGCAGCTCAACTAAATGCAAATTTTTTTGCAAATACTTGAATTTATCTGCTGCTTGTTCCATTTCCATTGAATTTCTTTCCATTATACTCGTGAGCCTGAAAATGTTAGTTAGCTTTTTTACTATTAATTCCTCAATGTTACTTTTTTCCATTATTAACCTTTTTGTTTATCCGATTTTGCGTATCTATAATTTTATTTTCAATTACTTAAAGCGTTATAACACGATCACGTAAAACAGAAAACTATTAAATCTTTTATCACTTTATTTTGTTGTATTGCTGAGAAATTTCTACATTAAAGCCCCTTGCACAATGGACGGAATAGCGATAGCAATAGAAAAAACAAAAGTTTTAAGCCTCTTGCACAATGGACGGAATAGCGATAGCGATAGAAATAACAAAAGTTTTAAAGAGTTTATATTTAAAAATAAAGGTAGGAACAGCGGAATCTAACATACAAAAATACACATGTATCAATGCAGATCAGAAAATCAGAATAAGCAATAGCGATACAATTTCCGACGAGTTGGAATTCTGTGTTAAAAACTGTGTTATTTCTATTGTTATCGCTATTCCTTCCATTGTGCAAGGAGCTTAACAGTCAACCACGGCATTGGTTATGTTCAGAAAACTCACCGGTTGAAAGATCATCACTTATGATAGGACTATTCTTCAAAATCTATATCGGATCCAGAAGTATGATCCAATCAGAAGTGATTATCTCTCAACCGTTGTGCAACTGTTGAGTTGTCTGAACGCACCCATTTACATTTTATGGGTAAGTTCCACTTGCCGTTCGCAACGCTCACGGTCATTCCACGAACTCGCATGTTCCAACTTCGAAACCAGAGAGAAACCTGAGAGCGGCCATCCTATAGTAATTTTTTACGACGGTTTCAGCCGCTGGTTTTAGCCGTATTTCCAC